GAATCATTAGGTAGAGATTAACGAGCTGGGAGTGGAACGCAACGCATAGTATTTGGCGACTATTGCCAGAGTCACTAGAAGCCATGTAGATGTGCGAGCAATGCTTGACACAGCAGATATAATTTGATTTTCGGGTTTTGGAACACCCGCTGTGTATATACCGGGTTTTATTCCCATAAATTATTTTTGTTTATATTAAAGGGATGTTTAGTTGACATTAATTTTGGTAGCACTGCTTAAGTTTCAGATTTTAATTTCTTCCTATTGTCGGTTTCGTGGCCTTTGTTTAAACATATCATTTCGTGGTTTTGCTTGGTTGATATATATATATATATATACATATGTATATATATATATGAGTGTACAGATATTGTGCCATCGGAACCATGGTGGAATAGGAACACAGGATTGGAGTAAAATCAAAGTGATATCGAACATTTTTTGTCCGTTCCTCACTTAAGTTTTTGTTTTTTTGCGATGTTATTATTGGGGGAGGAAAGGGAATCATCTCAACAAGCAGAGATACACGCCTGCCATAGAGTTCAGTTTTGAGCCACGACTGCCAAGGTTCCTAATCGGCGACTCTCGACATGTTTGGGACCCCATCCAGGGAGTCAAGAAGAACCCATCCTGGCCAGTTGTTTTGTCAGCTTTTTTATCCTGTTTCTCCAAGTTGTAGGCTGGCCACTACACCGCCTCCTCCAGCCCACTCCAGTGACCGCGAATAAGGCACGACGCGGAAGACGCAGAACAGACATAAGCGGTACTTGTCCAAAATGACGCAGCGAGACAAGCGCCTCAAGGGAGTGGCTAGCTCCACCCAAGACACGCTGTCTGACTTCTACGTTGGTTACATGGTGTAGCACCACACATGGGTGATAGATCGCAAGCTATGGTTCTAGAAGACAGACAGCCGGTGCAGGTCATCGGTACCAGCAGGCCAAGTCCCATAACCGCGCAACAGTACAGCGCGGACGGACGCACTATAAACCCGCTTTTTGATGTAGAGATGGATGTCATGTTGGCGCCATTAATGCCTCAACCTGGAGAAGACGAGACAAGCTCTTGCGAAGCGCATCGAAATCTCGTTTCCAACAGACCCACCATCAGTGATGCAGCTTCCTGGATAGACAAAACTCGGTACAACTTTCAGCATCTCGCCACTGATGATGAGGGCAGATGAGAGCGTATACCATTCTTTAAAAAGCGCTTTGCACTTAGATGATGCAAATTACATGCCATACTTCGACGCTTCAATTGCCCCTTCGGTTCAGTGCAAGTTGGACGGCTTGCAGACTGGCACCCAACAAGATAATATCATCAGTGTAATCCAACTTAAGCACGCAACTACCTGGGAGGAGCTCAACGCCAACATGTAACGAGTCTTCTAAAGCATTTTTGAAGAAACCCCTAATGGCAACATTAGGGAGGAATGGAGAGATAGGGCATCGTTGTAGAACTCCACCAGTGACAAACAAGGAAGACGAAAGTTTGTCATAAGCCCTAACTCTACCCGTGGTCAGACTATACATAGTAAGCAATGCGGAACCGTACTTCCCGGGAATGCCATTCTTCAACAGACAGTGCCACAATGTAGCCTTATCGACAGAATGGAAGGCGGCACGGATATCCAAGAACACAACAATGGTTGGCATTTGATCCACATGGCAGGGCTCGAGAATCTGACGGAGTGTGAACATGTGATCGATGTATTCGCGACCAGGGCGGAACCCAGCCTGTTCTTCTCGCTGTAGTGATTCACAAGTTGGAGATAGCCCTCTGAGAATGATGGACACCAGAATCGTGCAATTGAAGGGAACCAAGCTTATGTCCCTATAATTAGAGCACTTTGTGCTCTGCCCTTTTTGAAGATGGAGGAGACTTTGACTCACTCCAGGATGATGGAATCTCATCTTTCGCCTAGAATTCTGAGATCAAAGTGGAGAGCTCTCAAACTGGAGAATAGTCCCCATCTGTAACTAGAGCTGGAGATAGATCAGCAGGGCCAGGTGCCTTTATAACACTTAAGGCATTAGAGTTACAACTAGGTTTCTCGGTGAGTGAGAGGATCATTGGGGATAGTACATTCAGCACTATTGCGCGGCCCAGGGGAAACAGATGGAGCTGGCGGGCAGGAAAAGTGTGTACAAAACTGTTCGGTCCATCGCTCCAAGTCTCTTTGGCAAGCATCCGTCATTGTGAATGTATGTTCACCTTACGGTTGGTGTCGCGTAATGCCATTTCCCAAGACATACTTGCTTTGTTCTTCATTTCACGGCGGCCTATTCGCTTGTTGCGTGTAGCGTTTTCCCTCTAGTTGGCTGGTTCTAATGTATTTTAGTTTTTTCCTTTCGAAACCTTTTCAAAACTAGATAAGCCCGTGTGGTTTTAATGCAAACACTTCTTTCCCGACTTGTCTTTGGAGTTCATTTTGCGGTCGTGGGGTGAAGAGGCCAGCGGCGAGACACAACATATGTTTAGAAATTTAAAATTTTCACCACTGAAATTCTTTGCTGATCTGTAAATTTCTAACTGAATCATGCCGCCCGAGCTACATATGTAGAAATGGGGCTTATCGATGTAACTAAGGTCACCGTGGGGCGGGACAGGCCGTTCACAGTGGCTGCCGGCTAAGCTGGAATGCTACCAAAAGTACATCGCATTTATTGTGACGTTCAAACGATCAACAGTTCGGATAGTTTTCACTGGAAACAATTTATTTCTGAGTTGCACAAGAGAACCTTGTTGCTCTCTCATTTACCAGTGCGTGATCGGAAGATTAATTCGAGGCGATGTTTACGCATTAACCCACATGGGTTGACCGGTTTTTAGTTTTCCATGGAGGTTTTACAGCTCCTCAAATAATTTAAACGCGAATGATGACATACCTGGAAGAGCGAGATTTTTTCTTTGGTCTTCTGGGATTCGCTAGCAGCACGTTTCACTAATGAGCAAGGACATTTCAACGGTGGTCAAGACGGTCCCTCTTGAAGCATACAGTCAGGTAGTAGTAAGTTTGCCAAAGCTATGGTATAAATCAGACTACTGCTGAGTTTAAAGTAGTGTGTCCTTTCCATCTTTATATGAGGTTTCAGTTTTCGTTTCGTGCGTCGGTTTACGTTGGCCAGAAGAAACCCTTACGAAACAACGAGCACGAATAAAGACCCCACGAAAGTTACCAACACCAAAACCCACAGACATAAATGATCACACGAAGAATGCCCACATGGAAGAATACGTATAAAGAAAATCGCAAGGTTACATACACAGACAATCACAGTGAAGAGTCAACAGCCAAACACTGACGATGAAAGACCATTTGATTCCCGCCAGCGTTCACCAACCTCACCAAGGAAAGACGTTAACGGCTAACTCAGGCTGCTTACACTAGGGGTGTCCAAAGTTTTCAGATGGAGGGTTGCATCTGTTAATAATATCTGAACCGTATTCAGTCCGGCATTAATGAAGAAATAAATAAACAAAATTTTATTCTCAACAATCCAAGCCACACCTTTATGGGTATGATCATGTTAAGCTAACACAGTGTAGTCAATAATGTACAAAATACATGTTTGACATGATAGTGAATGTGTGTATGGGTGTATCTACTTAAGTAATTGTGTATGAATGTAGGTGTGTAGCTAGTTTTTGAATGTGCCGCAGCATTTTTGACTGTTTCTAGTTGTCAGGAATGTGAGAATGAGCAATTGGTGTCTGTGGGTTGGATAGCATTCTCCGAATATCCACAAGGCAGTGGCTTTAGTCTGTGGCGAGTCACATTCGCCACGTCGCAGTATTGATAAGCAGACATTTTTGGTTTTTATAGGGAGTACACTTGCAAGGCAAAAACCCACCACGTCCTGGAACACTGCCGCCGAACTATTTGCTGGAACGGATTAAACCCGAACCACCCAGCTGGCACCACGAGGAGATTGTTCGGCTAACCAGCCAAAACCAAAAATGACATATGTCATAAACTTTTATTGCGTTTTTAATTTGAAGGATGAAACTGAGACCTTGACTGCAATAAACTGGTCAGATCAGGCTCAAGGGCACTGGTTTTGATACACAAAATTTCAAGTAGATAAAGAGCACTTAGTCTCGTCCCCACACAGTTTATACTAAATGCAAACTTGCGAGTATCTGCTCACACAAGTGTGTCGAGCCAAACTCCCTTAGGGTTTTCTCAGCAAATGTTCGAATCTCTTGCAATTTGTCTTTATCCAGCTGGTGGTAACATTAGATGAGAGCGAGCCGTTGGTGTCGACTGTTACATTCAACCTCACTTTGTGACTCAATGAGCTGTAGTTGCAGGCATCCTGGAGCATCGTCAGAATGCACAGAGAAAGACGAAGAGAAAAGTTGGATCCTCCTTTCAATGAGCGTAAAATCCTGAAAGTGCCTTTGAAACTTATCAGCCACGGGTACAATGTCTACGAAATACTGCTGCATTTGTGCTTTGATGTTGCTTTCTGGAAGACTTGTGCTGATGTCTTTTAGTGATGGAAAATTTGTGGTATTAAGCTGCGTTTGGGGTAGTTCTCTTTGGAAAATTTGTTACGTCTTCTTGTAGGCCTCGATGTGTGAATACAATTGGTTTACCACTGAATTTTGACCCTGAAATCCCTTGTTCAACATGTTCAGGTGCCGTGTAATATCAACGCAAACTCCAAAATCAGTCAGCCAAGCAGCATCAGTTGGTTGTGGCATCGCTGAATTAGCCGATTTCATTTCTACCAGAGTGGAAGCCATGTAGTGCACTGCCTCGACTGAGCCATCTTACGTCACCGTGCCACGCAACATCTCCGCATTCATCCTGGATGTCGCGTAGAAACTGCCTTAAATGATCATGAAACTGGGTTTTAGAGCGAAGATAGTTGATAGCTTTTATCACAAGCTCCATATCATGAGCACACATGAAGTATTTGGCACAAATAACTTGTCGTTGAATTATGCAGTGGAGTTTAATGATTTTGCCCCCTCTTCACAGATTTTTACAGACAAGTATTGCTAATAAGCTGTGCTAGCCGGTCATGGCTGGGACATCATCAGTAATTATTCCCGAGATTATTTCCATGTTAATTTAATGCCGTTGCTTTCAGAAGAAACGGAAGCAAATAAATCTCTTCTCCTCGTTTGGTACTTATGACTCTACGGGTCAAGTATCGCCTCACTTACAAAGGTGTGCTCGCTAACATTTATCAAAAAAATTAGAAGCTGGGCAGTGTCACATGCATCATTTCTTTTATAACAGGCTATCAAAAAGAAACCAACATTTGCTCCTTATGCTTCTTATTGTCTTTTCATATCGGAGAGGATGTTATAGTAGCATCGGAATCAAAATAGAATTGGGCTCCAACCAACCTAGTCTCGAAACGTAGTAAGAACACTCGAATTTAAATTCGAATTTCGCGGGTATATATTCTAAGTCAATTGGTGAAAAAGAGTAATAATAATCTATTATTGTATATTGTATGTACAACCATCACATCCTCCGCAGCTTGAATACAACTCCAGATTTATGTAATTCGGTTGGGATTTCTGTTGCAATCTGAGGGATATTCTTGGATTCTGACTCTGCTCAAAACTCCCATGAAAATCTGAAACTGAATAGGCATTCGTATTTTCAGTGCACACAGCGTTAAATAGCAACTGACGGAAATCCTTATATTTTACCAGTTCAAAATGCCATTTCTGTGCAGAGCCATCACAAAGATCCAGAATGTTAACTATACGACTTTCAACTTTGTTAACAATGCTTTCGGATGAAGGACGTAAATCATTGCTGTTAAAAGAAGTTACCACAGTAGTTCCTAAACCAAGTATGTTCGACCTCAGTGGTCTGCATTTACACAGTTTAGCGGGTGTATTTTTAGTGGTTGAATGCACACAGTTACGGCATTGAAGAAGAAGGTATCAACACGGCGATCAAGTTCATCAAAAGAAGCAGGAGCACAGGAGGTAACAGAATGTTTTAAAGTTGAAACAAAGTTGACAGCTATGCCATTAGAGCATGGATGTTGTGGAGCAGTAAAACGGTGAAGACACCCAAGATTCTGTAGTCAGTTGGTAGCAATTGAAGTTGAAAAGTGTGAGCCATTATCACTTACAACAGCTAATAGGACTCCTTCCCTACAAACACTTTTCTCAAGGCACGGACAGTAAAATCAGCATTTGATTTATCAGTCAGGAATACTTCCGGACACTTGAAATAAGAAACCAACCACCACAAGGGCCTAGTAAGTCTGTAGATATGGTCCATCCATATGTATCCTTTGCCAGTGCTCGCATGTCATCGGCCATGATGTCCACTTGGACGGCTACTGTATAATCTTGTTCTTACATTTCGGGCGACCAGAAGCAGTTCGTCAAACAGCTGCATTTAATTCTGGCCACCAGCACAAGCATCGAGCTAAGAACTTCATCTTTTCAACACCAAGGTGATAAAATGTAAATCCCACAGAACAGCTGCTCTCAAAGTCGGTGGAATAACAACACCGCCATTCACACACAGTAACCCATTAGGTGTAACACACAACTCATCACGACGCAGGTAAAACGGTGGAAACTTTCGTTTCAGACAAACAGACCATCTTCGTTTGAGAGCAGAAATTAACACGTAATAATTGCTAGTCTCCTTATTAAGGGCTACACGAAAGATTGCAAGCGGCTGGGTGAGTAAGCAACCCATCTCATAATCGGTTTCGAATACCGTTGCATTTTGCGATAAGTAGTCGACGTGAGGAACGCACTTTGCACTTCTGTGCTCAACCATCTACTTGTATGTGATAAGAGCAACAATCCACCTTTGAACTATAACTGCTGAAAGTTTAGCTAAAGAACTGGCGGGGTTGTAAATGAACTTTACAGCTTCATAATCTGTTTCAATAGCAAATCTGAGACCAAAGGAATATTTGTGAGGTCTAGTGACTGCACAGTATACAGCCGAAGCTTCTCGATGAGTCTGAGCATAGCCCTTTACAGCATTGCTGAGTCGACGAGAGATACACAGAACAGGGTATCCATCCTGCTCTAACCCAGCACCTATACCACTTGGTGAGGTATCTGTGAAAATCACAGTTGGTAATTTTGGAGAAAAGTACGAAGAACACAACCAGATGTAAGTATTTTCAAAGGATTTCGAGGACATGCTCATGGTTGTCTACTCAAACAAAATTTGTCTTTCAACAAGGTGCATGAAGGATCAGCAATGGATGCAAAATTAGGAATGAATTTGGAATTATACTGTAAGCCTCCCATCAGTGATCGGATCTCATGAACGTTGGTGGGCGACTTCAGATCAACCAATGGATTTATCCGATCAGGATCTGGTTTGAATCCTTCAGATGTAACATGATAACAAAGACAACTGATCAGTTGTACACCATTTAGGCACTTCTTTGGATGATGTTCACCTTCGCATCCTTTAAGCGAGTGACAAGTGCAAGCAACCGAGAATCAAGGGTGTTTCTAGCAGCATACACATATACGTCGTCTTTATAGACCACACCTTCAGACCTTTCACAATGGAGTTCATCCCCTCTTCGAATATGGCTGGCGACACATTAAGACCAAGGGGAGGAAATTTATACCGGCATAACCCAAAAGGCATGTTGATGATGGACAGTTCACTAAAATCAGTAGTGAGTGGTGTCTGCAAATATGCATTCTTTAAGTCTAGCTTCGAGAAAATCATGGATCCATGCAGACGAGAGAGAATAGAAGCAGGTTCTTCTGGGGCACAACTACGCTGCCGTAGCTGCGTATTAAGGGTAATGTGGTAATCGCTGCAAACTCTCGGTGTTTGTCCATCCGGGTGTAATGGTGTGACGACAGTTATGGTCTATCGTGCTTTACGGAGAGACCCAACTATTTTGTGAACAGGTTCTATTAGTCCAAATGGAAGTATAAGACGTTTACAGAAAACAGGAACACCGGATACTTCCAAATTAACAGGCGGGCTTTTCACACAACCAGATGTCACTGATGGTCTAAGTGTTCGCTGAGCTCAGCAGTTTGGCTGCAAAAGTTTCGTCACCTCGGGTGGTGGAGGTAAGATTGTCAATGCGCGTTTATAAACAATGGACCATGATTTATCACGGGTAAAAAGCATGTGCTTGACAAGTCCCGTAGGATGGATTTAGTAAAACTTCACATTTGAAGCTTCATCGAATAAGTAAATCATTATTACAAGTGTCCACCGAGTTAAACTCACTACTGCATAACGATCGTTTGAAGTGGAAATTAGTTATGCACACGCAAAATAGTATAGAGAGCAGTTGTAGTTCAGTAAGTGTGAGAAATAAAAAATGAAACGACAACGCTCACGCGTTTGTTTCTTTAGTGGACAGATGTGATAGGTTAATCCAGTTTAGCTACATGCAAACTAATCACATGGACACGACTACAGGTATCCTCATCGCCACGTTGCGAGGAGGGCCATTAAGCACATGGTTAGGTTTGCGTTGTTTCCTCCTCCGAGTGGAACGGACTATATCAAGTAATGCACGTTTGAAAGCGTTTCATCAAGGCTTTTCTTGAAAAGCGTTAATGTGGGGGCAAGGATAACGTGAGCCGGAAGGGCATTCCAGGCACGGGACATACGGAGGGAGAAAACGTTTCATCGACAATCAAGTCGACTGTAGTGCGTAGCCAGTTTGAGCGGATGGACTCTCAGTTTGGTATTTTGGCTCTGCTGCAACAGATTGCGACAGGAGTGAGTTGGGTTCGTCAGTGTTAAGTAAACCATGATTAGTTCTCCTCTCTGACTTCGATATTCACCACTGTACAATCTCAGAGACTGCAGTCAGTGTTGGTGGGAGAGATGAAACAATCCTCTAACGAGTTTGGTCGCTCTACGTTGCGGAGCTACAAGTGCATCGACGTCGCTTGCGCCAGCTACACCAGCAACACCACTTGAGGCCTCACGTGGGTGTTCAGCATTTTTGGTAAGATTGATGGCTCAAAATTGCCGAAAGCCCTCCGTAAGAGTCCAAGATGTTGGCTGGCTCTTTTTGATGCTTGTTCAGCCTGTCTCGAGCAATCACGATCACAGCAAGATCGTTTTCTTGGGAAGCACGTTGTAAGTGCTGGTCCCCAATTCGATATTCATAGATAAGCTGATGGTGTATACTTTCCACTTTGCACTTGGTCACGTTGAACTACAGCCCGTTGTCGGATGACCATGCGTAAGCCCTGTCGAGATCGCTCTGCAATGTCATGTGATCCACCGATGTCCTGACATCATGCCAACTTTGGATATCACCAGTAAATAGTAAGAAATTCCACTGCAGTACACTGAAAAGGGCATTAATGTATGTGAGGAATAAACATGCCCTCAGTATCGATCCTTGACGCAGGCCATACTGGATGTCAATTTGGTCGGAAATGGAGCTGCGGACCCTCACGTTCCGCTGAGGTTGAGTCAGGAAGTTGCCGATCTAATCGAGTATGGGGTCATTGATTCCATAGCTTCAAAGCTTGTGAAAGAGAATGCGCTGTTCCAAATGTTCGGACGCTTTCAAGAAGTCCAGGTAGACAACGTCGAGTCCCACCCTGGCATCGGCTGACTCTGTCCAGCTTGCTCGGGCTAGCAGCAAGTTTGCAATGCACGATCGATTTCTGGAGAAGCCGTGTTGTTGGGACACTAGGATGTTGCTGCTCTCAAGATATTCTGAGCGTCCCTACAATTATATATTCCATTATTTGGCTAAAACTGGGAGCAGAGAGTTTGGACGTTAGTTCGAGGGCTCCGAACGATTACCGCTTTTGTAAATAAGAGTGACTAGTCCATGTTTCCACATTGTCGGAATCTGCATTTCTTCAGGACAATGTTGAAAGAACCGAGTTAATGGTTCGACAAGGTTCATGGCCGCTGTCTTCAAGGCATTCTGTTCGATGCCGTCCACGCTAGGTGAGCTGTGCACGCGCAATGATATTATCCTTATTTCCTCACATTGGCTGCCATGAACAATACGTGGTTTAAACCTGGTGGCGATGGAAGCTGTGTAAAAAGCGGATGAAATGATAATTCACTCCGGAAAGTATGGATGAAGTGTTGGCGAAG